ATGGAAATCTACAAAGTTTTAATAGAAATCTCCATCCAAAAGCCTCCAAAAGCATCACATCTCAATGGAAATCTTCAAATGTTTAATGGACATCTCCATCCAAAAGCCTCCAAAAGCATCAAATCTCAATGGAAATCTTCAAATGTTTAATGGAAATCTCCATCAAAAGGCATCCAATCTCAATGGAAATCTCCAAAATTTCAATGGACATCTGAAGCAGCAACAGCAACAGCAGCAACAGCATTGGAAGGGGGGATTGAGAGATGTTCAATGAGTTGTAGCACTTTAGAATCTGGAATATTGAAGCCTTTGAGCCTTTCCTTCCAGCTTCAACCCCCCCCCACTTGCTTGCAGGAAACACAGTGGTGGAGATGTTGAAGGCAAATCCTTTTAAGAAGGAAGAAAAGGCTTCAAAGAAAGATTGAAGAAGAGTTGAAGAAAGCTTGGAGGGGTGTCATTTCTAGATTGCAGAAAGCTTGAAGAAAGCTTGAAGCGCACCCTTAGTTTGAGCTTGGGTGTCCAAAAAGGTTCTAGGTTTGGCAGCTTGAAGGAATACTTTGTTAGAAGGGGTTGGAGTCCTGGGTTGGAGCTTGCAGTTTGAAGGGCTTTGCAAGGGTGCACTTTGAAGCACTTTGAAGTTTCTTTTTGAGGGAGTTGCAACTTGCAGCATTCACTTGAAGTCTGTTTTGCAAGGGCTTGCAGCTTGAAGAATGGATTTGGAGGGGCTTGCAGCTTGCAGCATTCAGTTGAAGCTTGCAGCAACAGCAGCTTTCAGCTTTTCAAGTGGGCCTTGCAGCGCGTGACTTTCAGCCTGGGATTTGCAGCACCTTGAATGACACTGGCACAGCTTTCTTTTTGAGGTTTGTTTAAGTCCCAAGTGTTCTTAAAGACATGTTTCATCAGTTCAATGCATTGGGCACCTTGTTCAGGCCATGGCTTTCAGCAGCTTCTTGGAGAAGATCTTTGGCTGCTTGGAGTGGGCCTTGGAGATGCTTGGGTGGCTTCTAGGCCACCTTGCAGTGGTCTTGACAGCTTGGCTGGTTGGAGTTGGAAGCTTGGAGAGAAATCAGCAATTGTTTTTCTTTAAAGCTTGGAGATTGGCTTGCAGCTTGGAGATAACTATTTCTAGTCTCAAAGAATGTTTAACAGCTGTGAAGGCATTGGCCACTTCCAGCTCCTGACACCTTTTGCAGACTGGACTGGCTTTGCAGGGGCTTTGCAGGTGTCTTTGCAGATTGAAGCTGGGTTATATTATAGTAAGTCTTCATTTGCAGTTGCCAAGATTAGACTCTTTGAGCTGTGGCCATTTGTTTGGTAGTGGTTTAAAGTGTTTTGCATTGAAAGCGCACTTGAAAGGGTCATATTTTGAGCTCACCTCAGGTGCAGGCCTTTGCAGTTTGCTTTGGTGTCTTCAAGCTGGTTCAAGGGTCTGCCACTTTGAAGTCCTGCTTGGAGAACCTTGAAGGGACTGTTCAGTGGGTGGAGAGCATTTCAGCAGATTGCAGATACATTGGAGAGAAGGTCTGCTACATTGAATGCAGCATCTCAAATGGGTTATCAGTATCATTTTGTAGTTAGTTTGTTTTTTCCTGCACTTCTTTTTTGAGCTTTCAGTCCTACAACAATTAATTAAGGACAGGATTCTGCATCAGGCAAGTGCCAGGACTCCATAAGGCACTTGCAGCAACACCTCTTGGAGTTTGACCCCAGCAGCTTGTATGTTTTAATCAAACCCCTTTGTGTTTTGAAGCTTTGAGTTTGCAGCAGAGTCTCAAGGTGTTCTTTTTAATGTTCTAGTTGTTGTTATGTTTTGTTTAGGCTTTGCAGACATGTTTTCCTTTGCAGTTTGATCCTTCATGCTTCATTGCAACTAAGCGCGTGGTGGTGCCCAGCTCTTTAAGAGTGGCATGCTGGATTACAGACCTCCTTTCAATGGCTCTTCCTGTGAGGCCTACATGAATCTTTGGCTTTCTTAGTTGAAGTTCTTTTCTATTTTGGAAGTTTTCTATGTTTTGAAGTTTTTCTATTTTAGTTTCATGTTGTATTTCTTTGAAGCTCTTGTTATTTTTAAGCCAAGGGCTGAATGGGACTTGATGGTCTGGGAGAGCTGCACTGGCTTGCAGAACGACATCTTTTACAGGAAGTTCCAGCATGCATCTTGGAGGTATTTAGTTTGTGTTGCAGTTTTTCATTCCCAGTGGTTCCATTGATATTGTAATGTGTTTGAAGTTGTATTTATATAATGGTTTCAGTCTCCAATCCATAGTTTCAGAGATTCTTTCAGCCATAACCAGGCCAGTGTTGGAGAGGAGCAGCCCATTTCAGAGCAGGAGCAAGACTTGAAGGTCCTGGAGAACACTTGCAGGCCAGAGATCTTGCAAGTGCGCTTTTTTCCAGAACCTTGTTTGGCATTTGTAATTTTCCTGTTTTTAAGGTGTGGCTTGGCCCTTCATTGAGTTTATTTGATTGAGAGTTTTCTTTTGTGAGTTTACTTGATTCTGAAGTCCTCCTTCTTTTGAGTTTACTTGATTGAGAGCAGCCTCATTTCAGGACAAGCCAGTTGGAGAGCTTCAGGCCACTTGCAGCCCCTGGTCAGCACTTCCAGAGATCACCAATTACAGGCTGACCAGGTTGGAGGATGCCAAGAGACTTGGAATTTGAAACTTTCAAGTTTTCTTTTTGAAGTCCTCAAGATTGAGTTCATTTGAGTTCATGATTTCATTTGGGTTCATGGTTTCATTTGAGTTCAAGATTTCATTTGACTAAGGGCAAAGGCTGAAGCTCTTGGCTTGGAGTGGGAGGTCCTTTCAGCACTGCCAGCAGTTGAAGCTCTTCCAGATTGGAACACGCAGCTTCAAGTACCTTGGATCTTATTGATTTTGGAGATTGGCTTGCAGCTTTCTTTTTGAGGTTTGTTTAAGTCCCAAGTGTTCTTAAAGACATGTTTCATCAGTTCAGCTTTTTACTTGTCCTGGTTCTGTGTTTGGTGTTTGGTTTTTGGTTGCGCTTTTTGCTTAGCTTTCAGTTTGTGCATCTAAGGTGGAGTTTTTCAAGCAGAGGCAGCGTTCCAGCAAGGGGGCTTCCAGTGGGGATCCTGCACTTGAAGCTCCCAAGGACTTGAAGTCCACAGATTTGGAGCCTGTAAAGTTGCAGGGCAAGAGAGTGATTTGCAAGGCTTGAAGCCTTGAGCTCTTTGAGGAGCTGCTTGCAGAGCTGATTGCAGGAGTCACAAAACCTTTTGCTTATAGTTGCAGTGGATGCAATGAATTAGAGTTTCAAGACTTTCAATTTGAAGACTTTCAAGTTGTTTGGACATTTGTTTGAACAGATCCAATTGACTTCAAGGTTTGTTTGAAGAGATCCATGTGTTTGGACATTTCTTTGAAGGTTTGTTGACTTCAAGCCTTTTCACTTTTGAAGGATTGCTGCCCATTCATTGCTTGTAGTCACTTCTGTGTTCAAGAAGGAAGCAGGCTTCTAGAGTAGGTTTCTAGGGCAATGGTGCGTGTATCCTTTGAGGGCTGCCAGGGTTGGCTTTGGGTTGATGCATTTTTTGATTTGGAGTTGGGCATTGACAGCATCAACTTTGAGATTTACAGATGGTGTTTGAGAAACAACAGGTGAGGGTTCACAAACATTATGATTTGATCTTTTTAACATGGTGCAAAACAAATCTTCAAGGTTCAATGTTCAACATGTTATTTTGAACCCCCTATCAGGTGGCAGTGGTACTATTTGAGCAGAGAAGAAGTTCAAGATTTGGAAGATAAATCTTTTGAGTGGGAAAATGAGTGTTGGAGTTTTGCATTTGTACAAAGGATTTCCACTAGTTTGGAGAACTGGAATCTTTACATGGAAGCCCTGACATTGGAGCAGGTCAGGATTATAGTTGCAGTCCATTACATGGAGGTCCATCCAAATAGAGTGTGTCCTTTTGGAAGGTTTAGAGATGCAGCTGGTTGGGCGTAATCCTTCCAGGGCTGGCTCCTTGCAGGTGATGCTTCCTTTGCAAATTGAAGAGCCAGGATTGGAGATGCTTCTAAAGAATGTTGTTCAATATGTTACAGTTTGTTGTGAGTGGTTGAACTTTTTGAGATTTGTTTTTACACTACTTGGCTCTTCAAGAAGCTGCTTGTAGAGCACACCGCGTTGCTTGTAGAGCTGCTTTGAGAGGGGTGGATTTTTTGAGAATGGCTTCAAGACAGGGCCATGCAGTTTGCAGTTGGACTTCCAGCTGTCAAAAGGAGGGGTTTGAAGCTTCAGTCACGCAAGAGTTCAAACTTTGCAGTTCAAGCTTTGCAGCGCAAGCACTTTGTGATTTTTAGGACTGGGTTGAAACCAAGTTTGTGTTTGATTGTAAACAAGGGTTGGAGTCATGAAGCCTTTGCAGTGAAA